TCCCTTCCCTTCCCTTCCCTTCCCTTCCCTTCCCTTCCCTTCCCTTCTCTTTGCTTCCCCTTTCTTCTCTGGCCAATTATTCCCTGTCCACTGGTTCTTTATATCTATATCTATATATCTATTCCTTTACCGGTAATACGCATAATATATAGAATGCATGAGGCAAATATTTACCCCAAGAAGACAAAAGTTTGTCATTTGCCTTTTAACTTTGTTTATTTTTTTTTAATTTGTTTTCCTCCTTACTGTGTTTTGTGTTGTTCTTTTTTTTGGCTTGCAAAGGTTTCTTTCTAAATAATAACATTTATCAAACACTTCTTTCATTGTATCTGGATTTTGAGTTAAAAATACCTTTCCCTTACTAAATACATACATACGTACATACATACATACATACATACATATATACATATATACATACATAAAAGGGGTGCCTACCTGGCTCAGTCAGAAGAGCATGTGACTCTTGATCTCAGGGTTTTGAGTTTGAGCCCCACATTGGGTATAGAGATTACTAAAAACAAACAAACAAACAAACAAACAAACAAACAAAAGCCTTACCCCACCCTCAAGATATCAAGGAATTCACACGTTTTCTTCTAGAATTGTATGGTTTCATTTTTACATGTACAGATCCAATTCATTTGGAATTTACTCATATATGATATGAGGTATAGATCCAATTTTAGAATGTCCAAATGGCTATTCAGGCATCCCAACACCATTTCGTAAAAAGTCTTAGCCCCAGAGATTTGAGATGCCACTTTTATTATGTTCTAAATTTCTGTGTGTATTTGAATCAATTTATGGATTTTCTATTTATGAATCTACCATAAAGAGAAACAACAAAGCCCTCAAGCCCACATCCTTCTCTAGCTTTTGCCCTAGTTCTCTCTTCCACTTTGCAGTCAAACTTTTCAAAATAATTATCTATACTCTGCCTCCATTTCCGTACCTCCATTTACTCCTCAATTCCCTCCAGACTGGCTTTCACCCTTGTCATTCCATCAAAACATTTTGAACTTGAATCGTCACCATGACACTGGATTCCCCAGGCAGATTTTGGGCCACATCTTATTCATTCTCCCAGCAGCTTTTGACATTGTTGAATGCTCCTTGAAATGTTTTCTTTGAGGCACTTGGGTGGCTCAGTCAGTTAAGCATCTGACTCTTGATTTTGGTTCAGGTCATGATCTCACAGTTTGTGAGTTTGAGCCCCACATTGGGCTCCACTCCCAATCACAAAGCCTACTTGTGATTATCTCTCTCTCTCTCTCTCTCTCTCTCTCTCTCTCTCTCTCTCTCAAAATAAATAAATAAACTTAAATAAAATGAAAACAATGCTCTCCTGACTGGCCCACAAGTCTCTACCATCTCCGGCTTTTCCTCCTTTTCCTTAGCCAATTCCTACCTGGGCTCCTGCTGCCCTACCTGGCCACCCAGCCCTGGTATTTCTCCACTCACTCCCACCCCCTGCTCCCTTAATGCCCACACACTGCCTGGGTTGTCTCATCCCTGCCTGTAGCTTCAGTTTGAACCGACCCACAGGTAACTCATCATCCCTCTCTCCCACCCAGCTCCCACTCCTAAGTGAATCTAGACCCATTTTTTGACCCCCTTCATGACATTTTCACTTGAGTATTTCAAAGGCATTTTAAAGTCAGCATGTCCAAAACTGGGCCCAAGAAAGACCTGTTTCATTTTGCCCTTATCCCCAAATCTGGTTCGTGTTCTTCCCTGAATAATAGCATCATCCATCAGGTGAAGAAACCCAAACGCCCAAGTGTCCTCCTTGACTTCTCTTTCCTCACATCCCAGCTCCAAACTATTGCTAAGTCCTCCTGAAGACTTCTCCTATCAGTCTCTCTCCCCCCACAGCACACCCGTGTCCAGGCTATTCTCACCTCACAGATGCATTCCCGCCATGGCCACCAAACTGGTCTCCCTGCTTCCTACTCTTTCCTCATCCCCATATTTCTCTCTTCACTTGGCAGCCCGAGGGATCTGTTTGAAAGCAAACCACTTCACTTGCCTCCTGTTGCTCTTAAAATAAGCCAAAGTTGTAATGTGGTCTACAGGAGCCTCTGCAGTCTGGCGCCTACTTACCTCTCCCATCTCCTCTTACACCACGTTCGCTTCCCCTTGCTCTCTGAGCTCCAGGGAGCGAGCCAACTCTCAGTGTCTTTGTTATTCTCTCCTGTTAATGGGCCTTTCCTCATGCCTTTGCTAGGCTACCTCCCCTCCCCAGCCCAGCCCCTGCCATGCTTTTCCTGTCTAGGACCAACGCTCCATCATATCCTCTCTGGACCTCCCTTTGGAAATGTTTTCATCACAGTTAGCACTTGATGTTTACATGGGAGATTTATTTTTAATATCTGTGAGGACAAGACCACATCAGTCATTTGTTTCAATTTTATCTCAACATCTACCTCGGGCCCTGACACTGGGAAACAAATGAATAAACTTAAATCAACTCCTACTTCTTTCACAGGCCTTGTTTTCTTTTTTAAACTTTTAAACAAATTAAAAAAAAATTCTTTTAAGATGGTTTTATGAAACTTGGAATCATGGCTTAGGGTGGAGTCTGATACAATGACCAGAATATTGGGAATCAGGAAATTTTAGTTCTAAATCCAGTCTTATAAACCACAATGGGAAATTTAGGAAAATATTTCAAATATTGCCTACTTCTCCAAAACATGCAAACTATGGCTGCGTCACTTCTAATTTCATTATTTTAGTTACTTTCATATTCTTCTCTTGTGCTGGGTGGTCAAGTTCTTGATGGGATACCACACTGATTTTTGTCTCTGTGAAGTCCATCACTTCGAAGTACATAGAAAGTGTTCAAATCAATGTTGAATAAATGAGTTAATAAATGTGTAACACAGGATGGCATGATTTTTTTTGTAGCACGGTGAAAATAATGCAATACTAAAAATAGTTGAGTAAGAATTGAAAGTATTTCCCCTTAGGTTTAATCAGAAGTAAAATATAAACAGAAGTGCCCAAATGTGATAAGTCTTTGGTCAGAGATTTGAATAAGCAGAGCTGATGCCAGGTCAGAGCATATAGTAGGTGTTCAAAAAAGACCTTAGAAGAAACTTAAATAGGGAGTTGAGAAATAAATAGGCATCTGGAGTTGACAGAATATCAGTGTAGGTGAGGCTCTTCAAGAGAGCAGTGAATATGGAAATTTAGAATTAGTTTCATTTATATAAAACAGAAAATGTACTTAAATGTGATAGAATATTTTTCTTCATGTAAATGACTTTTGGCTAGTAGCTAGTCCAGTGCTGATATATTGGCTCCATGATCATTTGGGACCAAGATCCCTTCTATCTTGTTGCTTTGCCATTTAAATGTGTAGCTTCTCCCTCATAACCAAAAATAGTTGCTTGGGTTCAAGCCATTGTATCTGCATTCCAACCAGAGAGAAACAGGAAGAGAGAAAGACGGCCACGCCTAGTCCTTTAGGGACACTTACTGGCACTCATATCCCATTGGTCAGTATTTAGTCAAGTGGCCACAACTAGCTGCAAGAGAAGCTTGTGAATGCAGTCTTTGATCGTGAAAGCCACATGCCCAGTAAAACTTAAGAATCAGAAAAATTAAAAGAAGAGTTTGTGTTGCAGGAAATGAAGCTAGAAGGAAACCCATGGAGTAAGCCAGTATTCACATTGCTAGTTCGTACACATAGACTGCCAAGTGCTACACAGCTGGCACAGGTAGTGGCCAGATGAGTGATCATCAAACCTCAGATGGATCTCAGCATCCCAGTGAATTCCACACTGGTGCCCGGTCAGCTCCCTCCTTCACGCCCATAGAGCCTGTTCCAAAGCTTTGCTACTCTTTTAAAGCCTGTCTTCTGCCTCTTGGATCTTTGACAACCCAGAGGAAACGGATGCTGTCAAGCCTGGATACCTCAGTTTCCCACTCCCATATCTACAACCTTGTCTCTCTCATTCACCCCCACAACGCCTACCCTCTAGTTTTGTGTTTGTTTTCTTTCATTCTGTGTGTTATGGCGTCCTTTCCCCTGATTAAAAGAAACCCTGCCTCTCAAGAAACAAGTCCCAGTGGATATTATGGCTTTTCTTAATATCCTCCCTATCCCAACACTTTCTAAACATTTTCAAGCCTCCCCTATCTTGAAAAACAAAAAGAAGGTTCAGGCCTCCCTTGACTGTGTGGTTTCATCAAGCTACCACCCCGCCCCCTCTCCCTCTATTTGCTTCCACAGCCCAGACTCCTAGGAAAAACAGTCTACTTCCCACCTGCTGCTTACTCTTCAACCCATTGTAATCCTATTGCAACCTGACCTCTGGGCCCTCCTGTCTCCCGAAACTGCTCTGGTCAAGATCTCTGATGACCAATCATTAATTGCCAAATCCAACATTCTCTTTTCAGATTTCATCTTTCCTAATATTTCCTTGGCACATGGCACTGTTGATACTTTTCTTCTGGAAATTGCTCTTATGAGCTCTATGCCCGTTTCTTTTCCACCTCTCACTGGTGCTTCTGAGGTGCCCCAAGGCGATCTCATCCCTTTTCACAACCTCAAATATGTACTCCCTCTACGCTGATAACTCCTGCATCCCGATCTGCAGCTTCAGATCAAAAAGTTCAGGTACAGGGCACCTGAGCGGCTCAATCGGTAGAAGTGTCCGACTCTTGATTTCGGCTCAGGTCATGATCCCAGAGTTGTGGGGTTGAGCCCCAAGTCCTGCTCCATGCTGACAGTGCAGAGCTTGCTTAGGATTCTGTCTCTCTCTCTCTCTCCCTCTGCCCCTTTCCCCTGCTTGTTCTTTCTCTCTAAAATAAAAATTAAAAAATTAAAATTAATTTTGTTTTAAGTTCAGGTAGTTCCTGGGATGTTTTCACCAGGATATTAATTTGTTCATATTTCTTTGAATAGCATTTTGGGCTGGATTCAACTGGGCAATTCTGCTGATCTCACCGGAGTTCACTCATGCAGCTATAGTCTCTGGTGGTTCATCTTGGCCTAAAAGGGCCTCATGTATCTGGTGGTTGATACTAGCTCCTGGCTGGGGCACTTCAGTTCTCCTCTAGAGAGCTCATCAGGCTTATGCACATCATGGTCTCAGTGTTCCTCCTCTGGCTGAAAGAGAGCAGGCCTCCATGTATAAGTGCTTTTCAGGGCCCTGCTTGTGTTACCCTTGCCAATGTCCCATGCACCAAAGCAAGTCCCACAGCCAAACCCCAACTCAAAGGGTGGAGAAGTAAATTCTACTTCTTGATGGTAGAAATAGCAGTCTCGGGATGCCTGGGTGGCTCAGTCAGTTAAGCGTCTGACTCGCTCAGGTCATGATCACACAGGTCTGTGAATTCGAGCCTCATGTCAGGCTCTGTGCTGACAGCGCAGAGCCTGAAGCCTGCTTCTGATTCCGTGTCTCCCTCTCTCTCTGCCCCTCCTCGCTGTCTCTCTCTCTAAAATAAATAAAAACATTTTAAAAAGTAGCAGTCTCATAGCAAAGAGCTATATATACAACAGTGGATAGAATTATTGCAGTAGGCAATCTACCATAATGTCTTTCCCATTCCAAACTTGTTTCTTCCCACCATGTTCCTATCCTACAGAATAGTGCCAGACTCCCCATATTAGCTGAAGCCAGAGTCAGTCTAGTTTACTCCTTCCTCCCTTACAGATGCTGTAGATTGGAGGACTTAATACAAACTTCCAAACCTCTTTCTCTGCCATGGAGATGCCAATGATAAATGCTTTTTCACACTACTTTGTAGCTATAGGTGGTCATGGGGTGCAGTTCTGGCCAATAACTAGAAGTCTCTGAATGATTTTACAAACGCTTTTGCTCCGGGCCCTGAGCGGTCAGCACAGAGCCCAACGCGGGGCTCAAACTCAAGAACCGGGAGATCATGACCTGAGCTGAAGCCAGACACTTAACCGACTGAACCACCCAGGCGCCCCACTTTTGCTTTTTTATCGAAAGGAACAGACCCTGTCTTTCTTATTCTCCTTCCATCCCTGAATGCAAGCAAGACATCTGGAACTGCAGCAGCTATCTTGCGACCATGAGGTGACGACTATTAAGAAAAGACCAAGAGAAGTAGAGAGACAGCAGCCTTGATATTGTTGAATCATGAAACAAAGGCAGCATTTGCCTCGGTCTAGACTTCTTGCTATGGGGAAAAATTAACTCCTCCGTTTAAACCACTCTAAACTGGGATTTTTTTTTTTTGCTACTTCCAGTCAAAAGAATTCCTGGCACACCTCCATCCCTAATCCAATCAGTCATCACATCCTAGACACTCTTCCTCCTGTGGTTTTCCCACTGGTACTTCCCTCCTTTCATCTCTGCGACCTCTGCCTTTTTTCACACTCCCATGGAACTACCTCAACAACCTTCCATCTGGTTTCCTTCTAATCTTTTCTCCAACCTAATCCTGCTTATTGCCAGAACTTGATCCCCCCAGAGTCGAAAAAGTTCTGATTTCCCATCATCTAAGTTCTTAGTTACTTAGAATGGCCCACGATGGCTTTCTCAATCTAACCCCTACACATCTCCCCATGATTCAGCAGGTCTAGGGTGGGACCCAGGAATTTGTACTCCTAACAACCTCTCCGATGGTGATGCTACCAATAGTGGGTAAACCACTTTTTGAGTAGCATTGGTACAGAGTTCTTTTCCTTCAGGGCATTTGCCTTCACTTGTAACAATAGGTTCCTTCATTCCTTAATTTAGTGGTTCTCAAACATGAGCCTGCATCAGAGTCCCCTGGGGGGGCTTGTTAAAACACAGAACGCTGGCTTCTACCCCCCAGAATTTCTGATTCAGCAGGTTTAGGGTAGGGCCTAAGAACTTGCATCTCTAACGAGTTCCCAGATGACGTTGATGCTGCCTGTCAGGAACCATACTTTGAGAATCACTGTCTTACTACAGGGTTTATCAACCAGGGCACTATTGACATCTTGGGCCAGGTAATTCTTTACTGTGGAAGAGTTGTTCTGCACGTCACAGCACATTTAGCAGCATCCCTGGCGTCTACTCAATAGATGCCAGGAACAACTCCTCCTGTTGTGGCAAAAACATCTCCAGGAGTTCTCAGATGGCCCCTAGTTGAGAACCACCATCTTGGACTGACTCTTTGATCTCTAACCATCTTTTTCTTTAATCTCTATGTTTCATAAAAGCAGGAGGCTGGTTTTTTTGTATTCCCAAT